ATGCTGTGGAGCCCATGCAACGCGCAGCCCCTGGTAAGAGCTGGGGGCCGGGCACACGGACCCAGGACCCCCGCCTTCTCTCTGGCCCATGGGGCTTCCCTCCGCTGCGGGGTCTCCTCATCCAGCAGGGTCCCTCTGCCCCCGCCCTGCCCTCCAGGCCTCGGCCACGGGCATCACTTGCCCGGGTCTGTTCCCCCTGCACATCCCTACCTTCCTCTTTTGTCTCTGCCTTGCCCGCACCTCATGGGCCGAGCTCCAGCCCTCCCCATGCCCGAGGGTTCCGCTGGCTTCCCGCTGGAGCCTGCCCGATGGTGCCTGTGGGAAGGGAGCCCTCCGCTGGGAGCAGGCGCCTCCTGGGCAGCCAAGGACTCCTGGCCCCAGAGTCCCCGCTGCTGCTGGTGCTCACCTCTGCCCCACGCATGCTACTGGGTCCCCAAAGGGGAGGGCTGTGTGCATGGGCCCCAGAGCCTGGAGGGAACACCTCTGTCTCACTCTGATGTGTTTCCTAACCCCCTGGAGTTGCCCACTCACCACGTACAGGAGGCCTGGGGGACAGGAGCCGGGAGGGGGGGCCACGGGGGGGAGGCCTTCCCAGCCCGGCCCAAGCCGTGCCCGGATTTGAGGCCTCCTCTAACTCCCCAGCCCACAGAGGGCCTGACCCCTACACCTGGGTGTCCATGTGGGCTTGGTCGCTCCCTTTTTTAAAAATATATATATATTTTTATTGATTTCAAAGAGGAAGGGAGAGGAAGAGGGAGATAGAAACATCCATGATGAGAGGGAATCATGGATCAGCTGCCTCCTGCAGGCCCCCCACTGGGGATTAAGCCTGCAACCCCAGCCTGTGCCCTGACCAGTAATCGAACCGTGGCCTCCTGGTTCACAGGTCGATGCTCAACCCCTGAGCCACGCTGGTCGGTCTGGTCCCTCCCTTTTAGACGGGCAGGGTCTCTGAGTGCTTGGCTGCCCCTCTCCCCACCCCACAGCAGGGTGTCCACGATGTGGAAAGGCTGAGGCAGGGGGAGCACCCCCTTTATTAGGGGGTCTGCACAGCTTGCTGGGCCGACCAGCCTCTGCTGAGCCCCTCCTCCTTCCATCCCCTCGACCCCAGGCTGAGTACCGGACGCCTGGGTCCTGGGGGACCTCCGGGGCCTCCATCACCCCATCCCATGTGCTGGGAGCACCACCAGGCGGGTAGCAGGAGCCAGGCTGGGGCAAGCCACCTGGTGCTGCAGACCTGGGCTCGGACCCTGGTCCAGCAGCCACACAGTCCAGGTGCCTGTTCCTGGGCTGTGATGGAGTGAGTGACAGGAGGATGCGTGGCAGAGTGAGCTCCCAGGCCAGCTGTAAAGGCCTGGCACCGAATTCCCAGAGGGATGCAGGAAAATCCGGGGGCCAGGGGCAGGGGTTGGCCTTGGGCAAGCCACTTTGCCTCAGTTTCCTTCTCAGTAGGATGGGAATCACACCCAGAACTGTCTGACACCTGCTAAGGTCAGCTTGGTCAGGGGCCAGGCCAGAGTGAGGCCTCGAGGAGTGAATAGCGGGTCATACGGAGCGTGCGGCTTGGCGTGGGGAGTGTCTGCTGCCCTCGGCTGGACTGGCCTCCAAGGTTGGGACCACGATGGAGACGAGGGGGTCGGCCCACAGGGCGGGGTGTCAGGCTTCCGTCTCTTTCCAAGACAAGCCTGGTGCTCCCCCAGGACTGTCCCCGCCTCTCCGCATCAGCCTGGGAGGGACCCTGGGGGCATGAGGGGGGCTGTGGCTGGCCTCCCCTTACCAGCTCGGGGTCTTCTTGGGGGGCAGGCTGGCCCCTCGCTACCGCCTGGAGTGAGGGGTGAGGTGGTAGATGAGAGTCCTGAGGGGGGACAGCGCTGTGAGGGTGAGGCCACATCCTCCCACCCCTCAGGGCCCTGGGGATCCAAGTGTGTGGGAGAGCACAGCCATTCGTCATGGAGCCCTGAGCTGCCCACCGGTCTCCCCTGCCCACCCCGACCCGGCCATGGCCTGGCACCAAGCCCGGGAGGCTGCCCGCCGGAGCTGAGCAGGCTGGTCTGAGGCCCGCAGTGCCCGGCGGGAGGAAGCCCGGACAATGGGCCCTTGTTCCCTGTCCTCAGGCCCCGGGCCAGCATCTCAGGCTATCAGCCGGCTTGCTGCCCACCTTCCGTGCTCCCCAGGGACTGTCCCAGGGGAGGCAGGACCAGCCCCTCCAGGGAGCCCCGCTCCCCTGACGCCACGCCCAGAGGCTAGAAACGAGCCAGGTCAGCACACTCTGCTCCCCCTCTCTCTCCCTGGAGCCGCGTCTGTGGGGCCAGGCCGGGGTCTGAGCTGCCCGCGCTGGAGGGGGGTTAACATGGTGCAGGACGCCCCTGCAGAGGCCCAGCGTGGGCAGAGACGGGTGCCCTGCTTCCCGATGCTGGCACTGGGCACGCTCCCACCCACGAGTTCTCTATCAGCTCTGTCCCAGCGTGCGCACACGGCGCTGCCAGCCCCAGGGGTCACTGCAAAGGCTCAAGGCCACCTCCGCCTCCTTGGTGATGGCTGCGTAGAGACCTGGGAGTTCTGGAGCTGGCAGGCCCAGTTTCACGCGGGACTCACTGGGATTAAGGGGTGGGGGTGGGGCCGGCCATAGGCTGTCAGGAGCCTGGCACCTCCTATGCTCATGGTGGGATGTCGGCAGGAGCCCTCAGAGCCGGGTTCTGGGAAGACGGGGTGCATGCGCGGGGGGGTGAGGGGGGGCTGCTGGTAGCAGGTGGAGAGAACCAGGAGGAGGGGCCTGCCTATGGCTCTCGGTGCTGCGGGAAGCAGTGAGCCCTTGTCCCCAAGGGAATCCCTGCAGGAAGGGGACCTGAGGATGGGGAGGGCGTCTCTCCCGGTCCAGGAGCGGAGGCTGGGAGTTGGGGTCAGGAGCTTCTGTGTCCCGCCCACAGCGTCCCATACAACTGCCTGCCAGGTCTCAGGGCCTGGGGCACGGCGCTTGCCTCAGGCCGACCCAGCACGTGCCTTTTCAGGGCTGAAAAACAGCCTAACACCCTGAAACTGGCACCGGGTCCAGAGGGGGCACTGACCTGCCCAAGGCCCGGCAGCAAGCCCATGAGGCCCGGGCTCCTTGCCCCCAGCCCCGGCCTCCCCTGCCCCCTGCCAATCAAACCACCTCGCCCGAGGTTCTTGCCCACCGGCCTCACTCTCTTGGGGCACTGCAGGTCCCGGGCCAGGGTCACGCGCAGGTCGTGGGAGATGGGATCCACCAGATCGAGGGTGCCACGTTCCCATAGAGGGTGGCGGTGAGGAGGGTCCCCTCGAGGCCCAGGTCCTGTGGGTGGTGAACAGTTGAGTGAGCCAGGAGTCGGGCCACCCTTGTCCTTGTCTGGGCCCCCTCCCGGCCAGCAGAGCCCCTCCCATCCACTCCCCCTCTCCATCTCTCTCCCTAAGCCTTGCTGTCCAGGGCCAGTGGGCCTTTTAAAAATATACTTTTATGGATTTCAGAGAGCAAGAGAGAGGGTGAGAGAGAGAGAAACATCAATGAGAGAGAATCATTGATTGACTGGCTGCCTCTTGCACGCCCCACACTGGGGATCGAGCCTGCAACCCGGGCACGTGCCCTTGACTGGCACTGAACCCATGACCCTTTAGTCTGCAGGCGGACGCTCTATCCATTGAGCCACACCGGCTAGGGTGACTTTTAATCTTTAACCTCATCCTCAGCAACAATACATGTGCAAGAAATCTAGACGCAGCAGGGAGATAAGCAGGTCCCAGGGCCCTTAGTCGGCTCCCTGGAGGTGAAACACCACGCTGGGGTTGGGCTTGTCTGGGAGATCCTTTGGGGGCTCCTCGGATGACCCCCAAAGGCCACTGTCTTCCAATTCTCTCAGGGCCCTTTGCCTCTTTCACCTCTTCAGCTCAGACTGGGTGTGTTCGTCTGTCCTGAAGCTGCCCGTGCCCCCGCTCAGTAAGATATGTCACCATCCCCATCTTCTCAGGGGCCTGGCATCTCCCTCCGGGGCCCACCAGCTTCCTTGTTTCGTCTCCAAGTCTCTCCTCCCTGCACAGACCTGCCGTCCAGGCGCCTGGCCTCCTGTTACTCACCCAGGGCTACGTCTTTCATTAGAGGGTCCGGTGAGAGGAGAGGCGGGCAAGCTGGTGGGGCAGGCACAGGGCGGAGGGGCCTCAGAACCCACGTGGGTCCCCCCAGCCGAGGGTGATCTGTTTGATGCATAAGCCCCGGGGCACAGAGGCAGAGGGGACAGGAGGGAACGCCCAAGGCCTCAACTGCCGAGTTCCTGTGGGTTATGGGGCAGGACAGGCCTCTCACTGCACCTCAAATCCCAGCCTCTTGGACACGAGGGGGCAACCTAGCTGTTTCCCAGAATGCCCAGCTGTGCCTGGGGTCCAAGTGCCGTCCCAGGTGGAAATCTGTGCCTCTGGAGAGTTTGGCTGATTCACCTCGCGGCTCTGCCGTTTACATTTTAAACACCGTTCACGCTCGCGTCCCAGATGCCAGCTGGGTTGGGTGGGGGTGGCCCATGAGCCTGGACTGACCCAGACAGGGCCCCAGACCGCAGCCTGCTTTCTGCTGGTCTGGACAGCTCCTCTTAAAGGGCCAGGCGCTCCCTTCCACCCAGGGAGGAGTGCAGCAGGAGAGGCGGGGCTGGGAGGCTGGAAGCGAGGCCGTGGCCTTGGCTGGTGCCCAGGCTGCCCTGGCTCACCACTGTCCTCCACGCCCACCTGGCTCCCACCTCCATCACCCACGTGCAGGCCAAAGACACACGGGGCTGGTTTCGGCTCACGGCAGGGGGCAGGGGTAGGGATGTGGGCAGAGAGGCAGGGCGATGCCTAGTGGTGATGCTGGGACCGGAACCAGGACTAGGGCAACCCCAGGCTTGGGTCTGGGACTCAGGTTCCTGGTGTGTGTGTGTGTGGGGGGGGGGGGGTAGGGGCTATCAGGTAGGCAGGCAGGTGAGTAGTTAGGAGCCAGCGGTCCCGGATTGTGAGCGGGATGTTTGACTGCCAGGTGAGGCCCCTT